CACTCCTTCTTCAGAGTTAGTAAACCCTTTTACTAATATACATATTCTTCTTCATCTAGCAAGGCTGCACTGTAGGTGTCTCTTAAAACTGTACCATAAGCTCTCAATATTGAAGTTAAAGCTGCTACTCACCGCAACAATCTCCAGTTCCAAACAAGTACTGTAACAGACAAAATCAAACTTATACCGACTAAGATAAACAAAACAATAATTGGATGAACTAAGGTATTGAGCAAGCCTGTTGCCATTGGAGACCACCCAAAGAGCACATCCCACCAATGACGGGATGGGCCTTCTCCTAATCTTTTAAATACTCTCTGCATAGTCTCTGTGTCATGGTGTATTGTAATAAAAGTTTTCTTTCCTTCATCTTTAATTTAAGAGTTCTCTTTAATTCATGATGCTTCAACAACTGGGTAACTAAAGATAAGTTTATCCCTATAGGCACAGGTGATGTTTCTTGGACAGTAATCAAATTTGCCTTTATATGTTGGTACGATACAACAGGTGCCTGATAGGAAAAATCACATCCCTCAATTTTGACAAAGTTACAAATGCACAAGTTAAATTGAGTTTCATTCACAGTGATGTTATCTACCATTATAGTGGGCCATGCTGTTCTGAGGCAGACACAACCTTGTCCTGTATACACAACTAAGGTTGTCTGGTTAATGGGATGCATTTAAAAGTGACAAATGCTTTGCTCTGTATCTAAACAAATATCTTTAACATCACTTACATTGCCTTCACATATAAACCCCAATTGTTCTCTCACTGATCAGGGTTTTCAGTTAACAGTTTGCCACATTCCTTCGACTTTTCATGCCCACATTCTGTGTTGAAAAGGATATAGTATGGTCCCCTTATATAGCCCCAAAGGAACAATTTGATATATCAAGCTTACTGATGCATAGTATATGGTTAAAAGAAAAGTTGTTACCATATTTGTCATGGGATCATAAGTAAAATTAACTAAAACCCACCAGGATTGAAGTTCTTTTTCTAAATCTGTGGCATTATCCCAAACAACTTCATGAATTTTGGCAGTGAATATGCTTTCTTCCCCATCCCTTATATTTGGAGCCGCCATTGAGTGCATCCATAATTGTGCCTATGTACACCCAAAAGCTAAAGAAATGTTCCCACTAGGTGTGCCTAAAGTATCAGTTATCAATTGAAGATCTCGTTCTTCCACATTTTCCCATTCTGGTAATATTTTGGATAATTTCTACTGGCTGGTACCTAATGCCAACAAGGAAGATTTTAAAGGTTGTTGCAATTTAACCATATCATTACCAAGTGCTGTCAATTTGTTCATTAATACTTCTGAATCAATTGTATTTAGAACCCCTAGCCCCATTCCCAATAATCTAGAAAGATCTTTCTTCCATCTGGACATATAAGGCATACACTTCTGCAACCAGGTAGTCCAGCCCATAAAAGAGGTCCTTAAAAATGAAGCACACTTGAGCCGAATGGCAGAGGTATTCACTTGCATTGCCATCCTTACCCGTTTTAATGACCACTTTGGATTAATTAGCAATTTTTCAATTCTGGCCTTCTTAACAGCATACGGTCCAATTTTGGTAATTATGGGAACCATGGGTTCTAGAGTGATTTGAGTAGTCGTGGTTTCTCTCAGTGTTGGTACTGGTTGAGTCATTTTAACCCAGTCCATTCAGGGAGCAGAAATTGAGTTATATTATAATCAGTCTTAAAATCCTTGATTGCACAACCTTCTATTTTGAGTCTAAACTCTGAGCAATTGGTTAGGTATTTGTCACAGCATTCAGGGCCAATTTGAATAAGTTCCATGGGTCTCTGATGAGATTCATGGAACCCATCCTGGACAAATGCATATTCACATCCCCAATTATCTTTCCCCTCCCACACAATTGCATTTGTCACTCTTAGCATCTGATCCAGAGACTTACGGGAGTCAGAGTCATAGGCTTTCCCTTTGCACTTATGTATACCAGTCACATTATATGCAAGTGGTACTGCATTAGCTGTGGCTATAGTGATAATCACAAATGCCACAACTCTTCAGGCTACACCTACTTGATTATCTATTATAACTACAAACCTTTATTCTTAAAATATGTTTATTATTTTACTCACACCCAATTTATTGTCCCGGGAAACTTTTAATTTCAGTTCATTGCCACCCAGTATTACTTTCCAGAGTTCTCGGGAGCCTTCTTCACTTGGGAATGATGGATCCAGGCACTTTGCTCCTCAATCTTGATTGCAGTAAAGGTGGTGAGGAGCACTTGGAATGGTCCTTCCCACTGCAGTTCCAGAGTCTTCTCTGCAAAAAACTTAACACATAAATAATCCCCAGGCTGTACATCATGCACTGGTCCATCTAGTTCTCTGCTCTGAGCCCCAGCCACATGTTTCTCAATTTCTCTAACTTGTTTGTTTAGGGCCATCTCCTGGTTTAGGGCAAATTTGGGAGAAAGCCTCCAAAAGAGGCCCCTCCAGAAAGCAAACCCACATAGCCCCTCCCCTGTAGTAAATAAATGGGGCAGGAAATCTTTCTCCTTTTTAATGCCTTTATTAAAAAGAAACAGCTCAGGTGGGGAGAAATTGACAGGTCGCGCCCACACCACCGCTGCTCCCAGGAGTGGCACGGAGGAGGATGATGATGATGATGATGCAGCTGTGTCGGCTGGTCTGCGGGCAGAGCTGGGGCTTCTGTCCTCAAGGGAGATTAGGAGATTCTGCTTTTTCGGTTTAACATTTCAGGTCCTCTCTCTAGTTAACATCTTTTCAGGTTAGGGTGAGAAGTAAAAAGGATCTTAGCAGGTACTGATTACGTTCCTCATCCTTCAACATCACTTAGGTCTCTTAATTCTAAGTTGGCTCGTTGTTTTTAGGGGTTTTCCTGGAAAACTGCAAAATTTGGTGAAATGTATTCTCATCTGCATACTAGCTCTGATGTCACTCCCCTGCCCTGCTACTTGCAGGGTTTGGTGTCACTCCCTGGCAATCAGCCAGGCTGATCACCAACCATTAACAGGTAATTGAAGAAGAACTCTCAACAATAGGTTGCTGCAACATGAAGCTAACTTAACAGCAACTGGTTCAACTTGTTTTAACTCTGCAACCTTAAAAAAAATAGATAACTTTTTACTCACAACATCCCCCCAACTGGTTCAGGAAGAATTCTTTGGAGAGAAGTGGAAAGAACCTATTTATTTAACAGGCAAAGCACTCCCCAGCACAAAAATATGAACAATACCAGATGACAAAAACTCATTCACTGCTCTGAAGAGATGACAAATTCAGAAAGTCTCTCCAGTGGGTGGTTGCTCTGTTATCAGTCCCTCCAGTGCTGGGACAGGCTGCAGAGTAGGCCCCATCAGGCTACAAAGTGCAAGCTCTCGGTGTTTTCCTGGGTCCCAGTCTGGAGCAGGTTCAAATGGTTCCAAGAAAAGGGAAAGAAAAACAGTCCAGGGAAAGATCAGACTGCCTCAGATAGCTAAACTAACTAACTAACTAAAAAGCAAAAGGAGCACGGTGTTCTGCCCCATCCATGCCCAGCAACAGTAATCTGCCCCATCCATGCCCAGACAACAGCAGACTGTGGAGGACTGAGTCTAGTTCTTGATAACAAAACTCTGTGCTTCTTCTTCTCCCTGCCTTTGATCTCAGCCAGTCTTGAAGGCACAGAATGTAATATCCGGCATAAACAGAACACGGAATTAGGGATAGAAATATCATAACATCTCCCTAGGAGAGGCCACCACATATCTGTGTAGGGTTTCTTCCCCTATTTGAGTGGGTGTTGTCCCTTCTTGAACTCCATATGGCCTTCTATACAATATTTCAAAAGGACTTAGTTTTTCTTTTTATTCTCGGTTTGGTCCAGATTTGTAATAATGCTAATGAAAGAGTCTGAGGCCAGGGTAACTTCGCCTCTTGCCCCAGTCTTCTTATTTGCTGCTTAATTAAGTGATTCTTTTTCTCCACTTGACCACTTGACTGGGCATGATATGGAGTATGAAGTTCCCAGTCTATGCCTAAAAGGCAGCTAATTTGCTGCATAATTTTTGAAATAAAATGTGGCCCTCTATCTGAAGACACTGTGGCTGGGACTCCAAAATGTGGTATTATTTCTTGTAACAATGTTTTGGTTACCTCCCACACCTTGGCAGCTCTTGTAGGGAAACTTTTGGCCACTCTGAAAAGGTATCTGTTAACACCAATAGCTATGGGTACACCCTTTCCTTGGTAGTTCTGAAAAATCAATTTGCCATTGCTGCGCAGGTCTATATCCTTTTCCAGTTTATCCAAGTTTTGGTTTAGGAATATTTTTGGGATTAGTTTGGAGGCAAAGGGTACATTGACGAGTCACCTGAATCACTGTCATTTGCAAGTTTCTGGCTAGGATTCTGTCTTTCAAATAATTATACAAGGCATCTATTCTGCAATGTGTTTTCTCATGTTCATCTTTCACTAATGACCATAATATGTAAGAGGCAATCACAAGCCTTCCTTTCCCTTTATCTGTAACAGCCCATCCTTCTTGATTATAATTTCTATTTTCATTCTCAATAAGCCTTTTTTCTTTTTTACTATACCTTGGCTTACTTTTAATAGAAATTTGTCCATCTGGGATTAAGGTTGTTTTAACTGTCTCAACAACCTCACCTTTAGCTGCTTCTTTTGCCTTTCTGTCTGCCAGCTCATTTCCTTCCTCCAATTCAGAGCTCACTTTTTGGTGTGCCTTGATGTGTATGATGGCTACCTTTTCAGGTAGCTGGACTGCCTCTAACAGTTTTATTACCTCTTGTGAATGTTTGATGCTTTTTCCTTGTGAGTTCAACAGTCCTCTTTCCTTCCAGATGGCCCCACATGTATGGACTACCCCAAATGCATACCTTGAGTCTGTGTAAATATTGATTTTCTTTCCTTTGCCAGCTCTAAAGCCCGGGTTAAGGCAATTATTTCAGCCTTCTCTGCTGAGGTGTTGGTTGATAACGATCCAGACTCTATGACCTCTTGGCTTCTGGTACTGCATATCCAGCATGCCTTTTCCCACTGATGACATAACTACTTCCATCAGTGAACCAGGTCTCAGTGTCCTCGACAGGGGTGTCCTTCAGATCTGGGTGACTGGAGTAGGTAGCTTCAATAGTCTCCAGGCAGTCATGGATCACCAGTTCTCCCATACTACCACTGAGGAAAGAAGCTGGGTTTACAATGTTCGTTACCACAATTTCTACATCATGTTGTTCCACCATTATGGTTTGGTATTTCAGGAATCTCTGTGGGGACAGACAATGTCTCCCCTTTACTTTCAGCACTGAGTGGGACACCAGCACAGACATCTTCTGGCCCAGGGTGAACTTGCGCACTTCCTGGATGTTCATTGCCACTGTTGCAACCGCTCTGAGGCATCCTGGCCATCCCTTAGCTGCTGCATCCAGCTGCTTAGAGAGGTAAGCAACTGCCCTGTGGTATGGGCCCAGATCTTGTGCTAGTATTCCCAAAGCAATTCCCTGGTTTTTGTGAGAAAATAGAAAGAATGGTTTACTCACATCTGGAAGTCTCAGGGCTGGAGCTGACATGAGGGCCTTCTTCAGTTGGCCAAAGGCTCATGTTGCTTCTTTCATCCATTGGAGGTCTCTGTTTCCTTAGGTAATCAAGGCATATAGGGGTTTGACTAACAGTTTGTAATTATAAGCCCACAGCCTGCACAACCCAGTCATGCCCAGAAAGGTTCTTAGTTCTTTTACTGTCTGGGGCTTTGGGGTCTGGCATACTGCTTCCTTGCGATCCCATCCTAAAGTTCTTTGTCCAGCACTGACTTCATAGCCCAAATAAACAACTGTTTGCTTCACCATTTGGGCCTTCTTCTGGGATACTCGATACCTCTGTAGGCCCAAAAAGTTTAAGAGGCTTACTGTCCACTCCATACATGCCTCTTGGGTTTTGGTAGCTACCAGAACGTCATCCACATACTGTAACAGCTGTTCTTCTTCTGATGGAACTTCCCAAGATTCTAGATCTTTTGCCAGTTGTTCTCCAAATATCATGGGGAAGTTCTTGAACCCTTGAGGCAGAACTAACGACGTGAACTGGGTTTTGTATCCAGTTTTGGGGTTTTCCCATTCAAATGCAAAAATTTTCTGGCTGGTCTCATTGAGAGGAAGGCAAAAGAAAGTGTCTTTCACATCTAAAACAGTAAACCATGTTAGTTCAGATGTTAAACAAGTTAACAGAGTGTAGGGGTTGGCAACCACTGGGTATAAATCCTCAGTTATCTTATTAACAGCTCTTAAACCTTGTACTATTCAGTATGATCTCTCAGGCTTTTTAACAGGTAAAATAGGAGTATTTAACTCAGACTGACATACTTTTATTAGACCTATCTGTAAAAAGTGTTAGATTACTTGGCTAATATCTTCCTTGTCTTCCTTTCTCACAGGGTACTGCTTGACCCTAACTGGTTGTTTTCCTACTTTAAGCCTAATTTGCACTGGGGATGCATTCTTTGCTCTCCCTGGTATGTTAGAAGCCCACATACCAGGAAATACCTTATCCAGTATTTTCCTGAGAATCCCATCTTCACTTTCAATTCTAGCCTCATTGGTTATTAGCATCCGGCTTAACTATTCCACATATTGTTGGTCCTTAACCTCCAAAGTAATGTCCCCATTTTTTAATATTATTTTTGCTTCTAATTCTTCCAATAAATCTTTACCCAAAAGTCCTGATGGAGCATTGGGCATATATAAGAACTTGTGAATTTGTGAATTCCCCATTGTTTTACAAGTTTATGTTTCAACAGCCTATAAAAATAAGCTCTTTCAGATTGGCCAGTTGCCCCCTTTACCATGACATAATCATTTGTTATTGGTATTAAAGCTTTATTTAACACCAAATATGTTGTCCCTGTGTTTATCAGAAATTCCATTTCCTTTTCCTTGTTCCCTAGTTTCATTATAACCAGAGGGTCTCCAAGGGTAAGATCCTCCAGTCCACATCAGTCTTCTTTAACATGGGCAACCACTGCCCCCCACTTTTTGATCTCCTTTTCTTTGTTCATAACCTTTTCTTCATCACCTAGTTCTGGGCACTAGGTCTTCCAGTGTCCAACTCTCTTGCAGAATGCACACTGATCTCTCCTTAGCCAAGGTGGTCCCTGCCTCAGTGGCCCTTGTCCACATTTCCCTTTTTCTTCTTCCCTTACTACTGCTAATAATTTTTTATCCCTTCTTTAGACTTTTATTCCCTGTTACTAAATACTCTCCATGCCTCTTGTAGCAAAGTCTCTAAATCTTGTGCTGTTTGACCCTGTATCTTCTGAAGATTGGCAGCTATACCACCACTGGATCTTCAGAGGAAAACTCCATCTTCTACAGGATCACTGCACCAACAGAACCACACCTGTCACTGCAGGACTCCAGCCACCATTTAATGGGACTGCTACCAGCACCCTGACCCACGGGGTGTCAGGTACTATTCTGATTCTGTCAGTGGGGTTTTTTGTTTGTACTATTACATTTAATTTTAGTTTTCCTAGTAAAGAACTGTCCTTCCTATTCCCATATCTTTGCCTGAGAGCCCCTTAATTTCAATATTATAATAATTTGGAGGGAGGGGGTTTGCATTTCCATTTCAGGGGAGACCTCTGCCTTCCTTAGCAGACACTTTTCAAACCATGACAGATTTTGGCTCCCAACCTGTGGCTCGAGGGCATTGAGAGAAAAAGGGTGAAAAAGGGAAAAAGAGTTATTGTAATCTAATTTCTGTGTGCTCATGTAGAAACCTTGTTAAGTGACAGCATGTGGTCTACCCCGGTTTGGGTGGCATGTGGTCCTGCCTGTATTTCTCCCATTTGCAGGCCCTTATCTAAACATGGGTCCTGACTACAGCCACAGTAACCAAGACTAGTGTGGCTATTATCCAGTTTGATTTATGGGTTAATAAGATGAAGAATTAATGGATTTTTATTTATCTCTGTAAGGCAAGCACATGGATTCAGAGCTACCACACACTAACTGTATGGTTTTGGAGTTACTTTAATAATGGCACTTTCTGTGAAGAAATGACAGCAGGGGACATTTTCTCCCAACCCTTTAACCATCTCTTTGAGTCTACCCCACCAGTTTTTGAAGGATTCAGATCCACTCTAAATGCTAATGATATCATACAATAGTTGGTGTTGCTGATAGGTCTGTTCTCTTCAGCATTCAGAAATAAGGGAAGATTAACGTGGATAACCACCCTGACACCTACCCCAGAGACTAGAGATGCTGCCCCAGAGCCTGACCTGCCCCAAAGAACAGGGATGCTGCCTCAGAGCCTGACACTGCCCCACAGCCCACATCAGAAATGAACCACCCAGATTGGGTGGGGGTCCTGGTAAATGAGATAGGCCAGATTGGCCAGATGCTGAAGGAGTACATCTCCCCAGCTGGTGAGAAACCCTCCCCCTTGAAGAGGGAGGGTCTAATGGTGCAGCCACTGAACCCACAGACATTACAACTATCCAGGTTCCAGTAGAAACAAGGAAGCCTAAGACGAAATCAGAGCACCCAGATAAAGGATAAGAAAGGAGGCCCCTCACAACCCACAGGGTAGCTAACAGTTGTGGTCATCACTGAGTTCCTGATGTATGAAAGTCTCCATAATCTGCACAAAGACATTGTATGAAAGGGGCATGAGGCTTATACAACCCAGCTACTTTGGGTGTGGGACCTTATGGGTACAGGTATGCAAGTGGATGGTGGTGAGGCAAGGAATTTGGGACCCTTGAGCCAGGTGTGAATCAGGTATTTGAAAGGGAGCCAGGGACCCTTTCCCTCTGGGAGCAGCTTTTAATGAATGTCAGAGAGAGGTTTGTCCACAGGGAGAGAATGCAGGAGAACCACCATAGAATGCACTGGAAGAGCCTTGAGGAAGGGATCCAGCAGCTGAGAGAAGTGGTGGTATTGGAGGTACTTTTTGGGAGGGATGGACAGCATGATAATGACCCTGATAAGGTCAGGAGCACTGGGCAAATGCTGTGGAGTCTGGCAAATCTGGGGCCATCTCAATACCCCACCTTCACTGCGAGGATTAATGCTGATACCAACCAAGAGACAGTGGGCTCTGTCACCAACAAGCTTGGAAATGATGAAGGTATGATCAATGGCCCAATGCAGGCTCACATCTCCGCCGTGGTTAAGGAATTCAAAGAGGAGATGTTGGAGATGAGGGAGGACCTGAGTAAAATCAATGCAGCACCCCAAAGTCAGAGCCCAATGTCGTTCTTCCTACATGACCATGGGGAGGACATGGGAAGGTGGGATGGGAAACCCACTTCTGTCCTGGCAGCACAGGTGTGCCAGCTCATGGAGGGAAACACTAACCGAGGGAGTTCCACTAAGGTGAAGGTAGCCTCAGCCTCCCATGGCCGAGCTGCTGGGTATGATCTGTCAGATCCCCTTGAAGGAACCTCTCATATGTATGCCCAGGAAAGAAACGATAACCAGGGCTAGAGGGACCCTGCCTCTAACCAGGAAGAGGCACAGGAAAATCAGGTCTTCTGGACAGTGTGGATCCGATGGTCTGGCACATCAGAACCACGGAAATATGAAGCCTTAGCTGATACTGGTGCACAGTGTACCCTGATACCATCTGGACATGTGGGGGCAGAACCTGTTTCCATTGCTGGGGTGATGGGGGGATTGCAGCAATTGACCCTGTTGGAAGCCGAGGTGAGCCTGACTGGGAAGGAGTGGCAGAAACATCCTCTTGTGACCAGCCCAGAGGCCCTGTGTATTTTGGGCATAGACTTCCTCCAAAATGGCTATTACAAAAACCCAAAGGGACTCAGGTGGCTTTTGGAATAGCTGCTGTAGAGGCAGAGAACATGAAGCAATTCAACACCTTATCTGGACTATCAGAGAACCCATCTGCAGTTGGACTTCTGAGGGTGGACGAGCAACGAGTGCCAATTGCCACCTCGAGGGTGCACCAAGGGCAGCATCAGACTAATTGAGATGCCATGATCCCCATCCACAAAATTATCTGCAAGCTGGAGAACCAAGGGGTGGTCAGTAAGGCTCACTCACCCTTCAACAGCCCCACTTCGCCTGTGCACAAGTCTGAATGAGAATGGAAATTCTGACTGTGGACTGTCATGCCTTGAGTGAAGTGACTCCACCACTGAATGCTGCTGTGCCAGACATGCTGGAATCCCGTACGAGCTGGAGTCCAAGGCAGCAAAGTAGTACATCGCTGTTGACATTGCTAACACATTTTTCTCCATTCCTCTGGCAGCAGAATGCAGGCCTCAGTTTGCTTTCACTTGGAGGGGCGTGCAGTACACCTGGAACTGACTGCCCCAGGGGTGGAAACACAGACCCACCATCTGCCATGGACTGATCCAGGCTGCACTGGAAAAGGGTAAAGCTCCAGAAGACCTGCAGTATATTGATGACATCACTGTGTGTGGGAACACGGCAATGGAAGTGTTTGAGAAAGGAGAGAATATCATCCAAATTCTCCTGAAAGCCAGCTTTGCCGTCAAGAGGAGCAAAGTCAAAGGACCTGCCCAAGAGAACCAGTTCCTGGGAGTGAAGTGGCAAGATGGACGGTGTCAGATTCCCACTGAGGTCATCCACTAAGATCACCGCGATGTCTCCACCAACCAGCAAAAAAGAAACACAAGCTTTCCTAGGCACCATAGGTTTTTGGAGAATGCACATACCTGAGTACAGCCTGATTGTGAGCCCTCTCTACCTAGTCACCTGCAAGAAGAACAATTTCTTCTGGGGCCCTGAACATCAACAAGCTTTTGCCCAGATTAAGCAGATTGCTCATGCAGTAGACCTTGGCCCAGTCAGGATGGGACCTGAGGCGAGGAATGTGCTTTACTCTGCAGCTGGAAACAATGGTTTGGCCTGGAGCCTGTGGCAGAAGGTGCCTTGGGAGACTCAAGGCTAACCACTGGGATTCTGGAACTGAAGAATCTAAAGCCAACTACACTCCCACAAAGAAGGAAATCTTGGCGGTCTGTGAAGGAGTTCAAGCTGCCTCAGAGGTGACAGGCAGAGAAGCATAACTCTGTCACTGTTTAGAAAGAAATGACACAGACTCGACAGAAGGCTGATTGGCATAAAGCACTGTTTATTTTGGACTGCTCCTTTCTATAAGCTGTTCTGATCCAGGTGGACTTCACTGATCATTTAGTTAATACATTTCACCTCATTGGCTAACATGACGCCCTTTTATAAACAATCTTTGAGAATAACCAGGAAACAGACAGTAGGAAAAACACCACCTGCAGGTTGTTTTTAATAATAAGTTATCATTGTTTATCTCCAGCTCCCTAAAGTTTCCCAGGCTGATTGTGGGAAAACTTATCTGGTTTTCTCACTCTCTGACCAGGCTGTCACTTCCACAGGCCCCCCTGTTTAAAGGAGGAGGCAGTGTTTGTAATCTTCTGTGGGGCCCCTTGCAGAAAAGTGAATAAACACAGCTCCAGAAGTTCCTCAATCAGACACTGGTTTAAAATGGTCAGGGAGATTGGATCTTGTGATCCCCTCTTACAAGAAATGCACTATGAATCCTAAAATAATTTACTTATTCTAATACAATCTCAATACTAAGT